GTCACTCTTTTACTCCATTTGTCGTTACCTCGTATCACGTGTCCAGCCCATCTCCACTTAAGTCTTTTGACTTTGATTGTTACATCTGTAGTTTTTGTTCTACTTCTAATAATGCAGTTTTTCAATCTGTCAGACTTTTTATCGTTCAGCATACTCCTTTCCATTGAGTGCTGACGGGTAGCACGCAGGTGTTAAACAGTTTACTTTTAATATTAATATGAAGTGTTTTGTCTTTCATAGCCTCTCTTAAGCTCCAGTATCTCTTCCATCCGCTTGTAATTCTTCTCTCTACTTCTTTTTGCATGGGTTCTTTTTGGCTTATCAGCTGTCCCTGGGTCATCTGGGACAGGGGGAAAGATGGGTTAGGTAAGATAATTTTATATTAATTCTACCCATAATGTAGGTTGATACTTACCGAAATTCTGATCGTAGAATCATTTCAATCGCGTAGGTTCGTGTAGGTAACGTCAAATTCTAGTATTAACAGAAATATTTACATTTAAAGGTCAGAATGGATAAGTATAGAAGTTCCCTTTCACACCATCAAAATCATCCCCCTATTTATATTGCAAACAAATAAATTATCGATAAGCCAGCAAGTCAGCAAAGCAAGCTGACCGGTGAGTCGTGAGAAAAGAGAATTTCTTTAGTAAAAAATCGAGGGTGCTCCGTGCAAGATTTGTGTAGAATACAACACAACACGCCCCTGTTTGTGTCCGGCGGAAGGAAACCAGCCTTTTACCTTTTTTGGGAGGCACAATCTTTGGATAAAAGGATATTAGTCACATCGATTTATTGCGAATTTGATTGTGAATTTGGTACTAGAAAGGGGGAAGGAACAGATGGCAGATGGAATGGGCAATGGCACATGGGGCGATAATGTATTAGGAACTTAGGAAGGTACTTAAGTGTACTTTTAAATACATAACTAATAATTATTTTTGGTGGTTAGTTACATTTCGATTATAATTTGTTGGCACATATTGTTCTTATGAAACATGCCTACATGTTTCTAACACCCTAACACCTTACACAGTCGCGGAGAACTTAACGGGTTACCGGGGGGGCTCCGACTCGACGTGCAGGAGAAGGAACGGGGTGGTTTTTAGTTAGTAACAGTCTAACACTCCCTCCCGCCTCACCCAGGCGGGAGCAGTTATTCGATGATTTTCCCCCCTTAAAAAAAAACACCTTACACAGAAAATGCTATTCCGTGCGTTATGTAAACTAACCTACAACAGAATCATTACCTTTACCTACATCACTTTTTTGGAAATCACCCACTCTAGTCAACAATATATCTACAAAACATAAGTCCACAAAAAACTATTAAATCTGATCTTAAACCATCAGTTCGTCGCGTCACAGGAGTCGAATCGTGAGAAAATATCGACGAGAGGTAAAAAATATAGGGTGCTTGATCCCAAACAATAAAAGATGAATCTTTACAATGTAAGAGGGTCGAACCCTCTTCAGAGACGTGGCGGAAGGAAGGAACCGACTCCGTTATATTGTAAATGGAATGTAAAATTAATTGTAGATAATTATTTGGAAGGTGAGACTTTGTTATGTGAACCTATGAGATTTATTTGAATATTTTGCTGCCAATTTTTGCTTAATAGGTAAAGGGAAACTAGTGTCTACTAAAGAACTTGTTTATTATTTTCTAAAATGAGGTTTTAGGAAAAGAAACGATTTGGTTGTGTGTCTGAATCTATTTGCACACACAGATTAATTCTTATAAAATTCCATTATTTGTACTTACCTACTACCCAGAACTAATCTTGACTTAGTCACTTCACACTAGTCACGAATTTTTTATTTCCTTCTCAAAAGTTTCAGCAGCGCGACTAAGTATAAGTCCTCTACTCTAAATCGTGAGAAACTAACGACACACTTTAACAAAAAAAACTTAATAGACAGGTCCATATAGTTATGATTAAAGCCAAGCCAAGGTGTTATTTGTAAGGAACCCCGCCTTAAAGGGCCGGGAAGGAAGGAAGCGACCCGTTACGATTACGATTTACTTATAATAAACTTCTAATTTATTGGTTCACACACAGCTACCAAATTGTAATGTGGAAAGGATATGACAGTTTTTGTTTAATACCATTTTGGGAGGATGTGCTACTTGAAGTTGAGGATAAAGGGATGATCAGTTCAGTCAACTTTGTCGATACATTTTTGTGTAATGGGTAAACTAAACTGTCGCGTTTGTTGGCGTAGGATTGTGTACGAGCTCCAAATAAGAATACTATCAAAACAGAATGCGAAACATTGAGAGTTATGATTCAATAGGCCTACTTACTTTTCGTGATGCAATCTTTTTGGGGGATTTTTTTGCAGTTGAAGAATAAGCTTTAAAAGTGGGCCTTGAATTGTTCTCATTATTTTCTATAGTCTAATTTGATAAAACCTGTTTTAGCGAAGTAGTACAAAAAGAGTAATGGGTCATAAAAGTAGCAGTAGCTTTAACTTAGCTTTGACATAACGAAACGATACCAGAATGGTAGAAACGTGATTGTGTTCACTCGTGTTATCGTGTACAATAGAAGGCTCAAGTTGATAGATAATACCTAATTTTCACCACATTCCCAAAGAATTTTCACCTAAGCAGTTTACCATCTGGACCATTGTGCCCCAATTCGTATCTAGTTCCCAGTTCATCATGTTAATAAATTAATTATAATAGGGCCGGCAGGACAAAGTGCGAGTGCGAGTTCTCACCGCCACCCCCGACCCTCGGCCGTCAGCGACATATGACATTCTAATTATACACCATTCATTAGGCTCATCACGCGATTGCGTGGAATAACGTCACACTTGGCCACTCCCATCACCACCAACTTGTATTTACCCTTCATATTATGAACGTAACTGAAAATGCGCCTTTATAACAAGACTGCTAAGGTCCTGCTGCAAGTTTCCCGAACCGCATCGTTAACTTTGTTCAACAATCTTCACAAAGTTACCGGTGCGGGTTTTGTAACCCTATTAACGAGTGTTAGGGTTTATTATTGAACCGTTTGCTCCATGTCTAACTGTATGAGTAAATTTGTAAATATGAACGGCTACCGTGGGAGAAATGTCTGGTAGCCTAATTAAATATTTATCAGGTATATTCTGGATGGTAAAGGTCGCATAGACACCTGGATGAACTGACGATTGTTTACGGAAATAAAACACACGAGTATCGGTATCACTCGGGCGCTATGAATAGGTAGTTTCCTGTTGCCTGTACCAAAAATAACAAAGTACCTAAATACTTTGGCGTAATGGTGTCATCTTCGAGACCCCAATCTGTGAGACCTCTGAGTCACAATTTCGTATAATTACAGTCAGCTAGTACCGACCTGAAAATCAAAAGAAAACATCTTAAAACCAGCACACGTAATAGGATATCTGTATTCTGCGTACATACATTATTTCTACCACTTGGCAATGAGTCCCTGGCCTATCTTATTCCAGATTCCTTGCTTTTAATGAAAATTCCCAAAGATCTAAATAATAAGTATTTTGCACAAACTGGATTTAATGCAACTAATTAGAAACCTTAGAAACTTAGATTAGGTAGGTCATTGTATACCCCATATTGATCTACCTATCCTATGGTCCAGGTCCACGTGTCTCCCTTGTGTTATAAGTAAGTAAGGAAGTAAGTACTTAGATAAGCAGCATGACGTGATCATGGTGTTTGGTAGAGACGGCTTGACGAAGAGGGTAGATATGGGTCAAGGATTTTCCGAGTGACCACTTACTAGTAGGTTTTGGTACCTATTTCGAATTGAATAAGGGCCCGGGCCCTCCTGCTGAATTGTTGAGAAGTATGTTGATATCGTACTTAAATATTACAAGATTAACTAAAGTTGTATACTGATCATACCTGTGTGAATTGGTCTCGTTTAAGGAAATAAATCCTTTCATAATTATCGATACGCAAAAGTAATCCAACAAAGCAGGTAAACCTCTTCTAATTTTACGCAAAAAATGACCACCAAAAAATGCCGTAACTTGCAAAAACTTCGAGTGTATTGTAAACAAATGAATCGAACATTTCGTCACAACGAACCCTTTGCACCTATCACACATTCCCACACTTCGTGGGAAATACACTCACCCCCAACCATAAAGTACCACAATTACCTGCGAACACACGACAGTAAAAAAACTTGAAACTTCATACTCCACCTTCCCTTTACGCTACGTTACACCTATGAAGTAGCGAGTAAAATGAGCAGTTTGTAGTGAAAATAATTATGTGACTTTATGGAAAGGTGTGCGTTCATAAAGTATGGGGTTCAGTTGCGAGGGTCGGGGACGAAATGATTGCGGTTCTTGATGTGCATGCGTACGGTCGCATTCTCATAGAATACAGGATAAGGGAGCGCAGGTGTAGCTTCACTCGATATATTATTGTTTTTAATAGTTTATTGGATACTTATTTGCGAATGTTTTATTTTACGTTTAAAAAGTTTCAATTAGATTATTTTATGTTTCTTGAAAGCTAAAGTATCTAACTATATACTAGACAGCAAAATTAGGTACAAAAATGATGTTTACCTATAAATAGGTACATATCTACTTATTTATTTTTGTTCACTTTAAAACTATTAAAGTATTCAAATACGTTATTATTAATTTTTTAAACCCATTAAATTAAAAGTCCCTAATCAACACAATCAAATACCTACTAAAACAATTTATATAGCGCCACCACAAAAACAAAACCACCCGGAATCGAACACAAAACTACTGACACATTAACAACTGCACCCATACTCTCCATTCACAACGTTCCCCATTAGAAAGGGACGGCACGAAAACAAAACATTCCGACACAGTTCCCAGCGCTTTTGTCCATAGGAGAGAAAGAGATGACTATATTTTTTACTATCAACTCCTAAACAGGATAGCAGGATACCGGGTAATTGAAAAATTTTGCTGTTACGGTTGCGTATGAGTTTCTTCATAAGGTGTTGAACCGTCGAGGAGTGCGGTCGTGTCGCGCTCCTGTACTTGTGAAGTGTCGTAAATATTTGTGATAAAATGCCGTGCAGTGAAGATGATGACTCCCAAACCGGGTTCTCTGAACCCACCCAAGGAATGTCCAAAGCTGAATTGCGAAAGGTGATTACTGAAGATAATCATAATATTATCTACTATTTTGCTTGGTGCAAATATTGAATTTAATTCGTGAAAAGCGGAAAAATTGTGTCTTTGTTTTTAGTGTTTCGTCATAATCACGTAATGCAAGTGTTTAAAATGATTAGTGATCTGTGCAATACTGAAATTGAAATATTTTAGTTCCTTATAAATATTGTTCTTCAATAACGTCTACTTATTTCTAAATTGAAAAAAAAATGTGAGAAGCTAAAGTGTCTAAAAGTTCTCTTTATCATTTCCAGACTAACAAACCGATTATGGAGAAAAAGCGGCGCGCGCGCATCAACAACTGCCTCAACGAGCTGAAAGATTTGCTCATAGATGGATCCGATAAAGACGTAAGTACTAGAAATTCTTCAAATTTTTATTTGCATTTTTGTAGATTTTGTCCAGTGTATCTAATTATTCTGATTTCAATCCAGATAAAAGCTTTGAATGAAAGGATATTCGTTATAGGTACATATAATGTCAATATTTTTACTGTCATGAATGTTAAAGTGAATAAACAAACAAAACAAAACATAAGCACGATTCCAATTAGAAAGAAACTTATAAATATTTTCCTTTACAGCCATCGCGCCACTCGAAGCTGGAGAAGGCGGACATTCTGGAGCTAACTGTGAAACATCTGCAGAAGTTGCAGCGCCAGCAGCTCGCGGCAGCCATCGCGGCTGACCCGGCCGTGCTGCACCGGTTTAAGTCAGGCTTCAGCGACTGTGCCGTGGAAGTGAGGAGATACCTCTCACGCCTAGCCAGTGTACCCACAGGCCTCAGACATCGACTCGGCAACCATCTAACCTCCTGCATCGGAGGCATGGAGACTCTCCAGCCTATGGACTACGCACCTCTTGTTCCAGACCCTCTAAGACTGGATGACGAAAGACCCAGTGCGTTCCACTTCGTCAGGTCCACCAGGCCTACCAGCCCTCCCCTCAGCCCCTTATCTTGTGACTCCGCCTGCGATTCCTCCACTGAACTCGAAACACCACCGCGACCTGTTCAAACATTCCCGTTCCCCACACCACCCAGCCGCTCTGCCTCCGACCAGGACTCTAGCCCAGAAACACAGAAACCAACAGTATCCTCAACGACAATATCTCCAGAAAGCAGACAAGATGCGTTACGAAACAAGAAATATATGGAGCCATTATCAATTGTGATAGATGTAGAGAACTATAAAATAGGCATCGACGCATCTCCAAAGCGAGCTGTGGACTACTCCATCAGGCACAAATTGAAACGGCCTGTAGTAGACCTAACAGGACCTGCTCCAAAAATACTGAAAATAGATGATAAAGTCGTTCCGGATATTTATAGAACTCCCGAAAAGTCTGCTTTTACGAGGGTCCCTGAGAGGGTGCCACCGTTTCCTCATAAGAAGTTGACGCTACCGGAGAGCATTCCGTGCGCCATTGAGAGGCCGGTAGAGATCCGGCCGGTACCTCCTCGAACTGTGATAAGCCACACTGCGGCGTCACTCGCGCAGTCCTCGCACGTAGGACCAGTCCAACTCAGTGTTCCTAAAGAAGTCAAATTGGAGGCAGATAGTAATTCTAGGTCGCCGAAACAAGGCGCTTCTACTAGTACAGAAATGTGGAGACCTTGGTGAAAGATTACAGATATTTATGAGATCTTATTAGTTATTAGAAACCGGTGAAGCAATTATGGTTTACAGAGCTAGCATCCGACGTTTAGCTGTAAAAAATAGCATTTTATCAAAGAAACTGCTTTCAAAAATTGATCTTGAAAACTGTTGAGAAGATTTTTTTAGAATTTAAATGTATATTTTTTGATTTATTGTTAAAGTTATTTAGATCTATGTTAAGAGGGACTTAGGAGTGCCTATATCCCTCTCAGTGCCTCCATAGTTTTAAGAGCGTACCTGTTGGTATTATATTTCGTGATATTATTAAATATATTTTTTAATATTTTGTTTGCAATTTTTAATAAGCATTTCTGTAGTTTGATTTTAACCTGTCTCCTAAAATAAAATATAAATTGATTGTGGAAAAAGAGCGATGATTAGATATTAACACATTATGGTTAATCTTATCATCATCATCAATAGCTTATAAATGCTCACTGCTGACCAAAGCCTCTTCTCACACGGAGAAGGTCAGAGCATTAATCGCCACGCTTGCTCAATGCTGGTTGGCGATTTCAAACTTATAATTAGAAATTATAAGCCCAGAGGCCTCAGTACGGGTTTGATTTACGTTTAAAGTATTCGAAACGATTACTTTAAGCGTAAAATTAATTCGTACTAAGGCCTCTGGATTCCTCGCGATAGTTTCCTTCACCGTTGGTCAGTGGTATCTAAATAATCTTAGAAAGTACATAAAACTCCAAAAAAGTCACATTGGTACTTGCCGTTGGTAGGTTTAGAACCCGTGCCCTCGTGCATGAGAAGCAGGCAGTAGTGTATAATTGGGGTTTCTGGATCAAAAGAGATCCATCAACCCCAATTATACATTAATTTAAATGAGACATCTATTCAAATAATGTAATTTCATTTATTTAAATACCACTTCTAGTCTGATATATTGTTTTCGTGATCTGATCATATGTCTATTTTAGAACTGGTGCAAAATCATCTGACCTAATCAGATCTGTTTTCTGTAAACTTATAGTTTTTATATTTTATGTAAGTATAGAATAATGTTCTAATCTGATGTGATCTGTTTTCCGTGGGTAAGAGTATACATTATATTTTAATTCTGAGTACCTATTATTGTAATCTGATATGATCTGTATCTTCAAC